GTTGTATTGTTTTTTACAAGTTATGGATGTTGTATTTTCTTTTTACCAATAAAATCTTTTTTAAAAAATTAAAAAAATAATAATAATATATATTAACATACGTTATAAATAAAATTCTGCAAGAGTAAACTCAATCAGTATATTAACAGGATCTAGCTTAGTCAGAACTAAGCAAAGAAAACATATCAACACAAAACCCAAGGCCTGGTGGACCAGTGGAGGCAATGGTGGTGAGAGGGAATGTACGCTGCTTTCACAAATGCAGCTTTGCGTGCATGCACATGTTCACTCACACCTTCTGCAGCCCTGTTCTGAATTGGCTATGGTCTAGAACTGAGCTGTGGGGCGAGGGGCAGTTTATCAAAATTTTAAATTTGCCTTTCTTTTTTGAAAATGGATCCACCGAGCCTGAAAGCTTGGAGACTGCTGATGTATATACTTTTTAAAAAGGGTTTCACAACTTTTTTTTTCAAGAAGCAACAGTCTACACTGGAACTCACATTCCAAGTTACATGTCACAATACAACATGCACTTCATAGACGAGGCAGAAATTGGATGTAAAACAGAAAACAGGTACAAATATAAAGCAATATTCGTCGTGCCAATCAAAAATGCGCAAAAGAACACTATATTAGTGATACTTAGAAAGTTAAAACACATCATCATCTGTAAAGACATATAACCAGAGATATCCATGCATACATTGTGTTATTGTGTTTTCTAAGTCAGAGGGAAAAAAAGAACCTCTTTGTTTCTCCCATATTTTTGATTGTTGTGAACTGCCTAATTATTGAGAATTGGGTTGCATACACATTTAATAATTATTATTATAGTTCAGTGACATGCAGTGAGGTTTATGGCTGGTTAGGCAAAAAGAAAGAAAGCGGCTTTTGGCTGCTGTCAAGAAATAGGCTTTTGGCTGCTCCCGGTGGTATGTCCGCCATACACACACACACAAACACACACAAAGAATCCCAGACAGACAAACAAGCAGCTTCCCCACCATGGGCTTTGTTCTTAACCGACAGCGGGCAAAGGGAATAAAGAGAGGCAGTAGCGAGGCTGCCTTTTGCGGGGAGAGGAGGAACTTCGCCAATCGCGGAAA